TTTGCACATACATCCCGAGACTAGTCTGTGCGGATAGTATGACAAACTACTGAGCTGATGGTCACAGGCAGGGTCCAACTCACCAAGGAGATTCAGAGTAGAATCCAATGTAGTTTATTAAGGCTTGGAAATACAGAGGATGTGATTCCTTGTCATTCTCAGAGGTGCAAAGACATTTCTGTCTGAAGCCTTGTACAGCATGAACAGGACCTTCTTAACCGCACTAGGCACTGAACTGTGCGGGAGGGGTTCACTTTAACAAGTGGGAAACCTTGCCATGGCTTGTCTCGGCTTAGTTGGCCAATGCTGTCATGTTTAAATACCATCTGTTCTGTCTAAACCACTGGTTTATGTATTTGCACATACCTCCTGAGACTAGGCTGTACGGATAGTATGAGCTGATAGTATCCACAGGCTGGGTCCAGCTCCCCAAGGATTTTCAGAGTAGAATACAATGTAGTTTATCCAGGCTTGGCAATACAGAGGATGTGATTCCTTGTCATTCTCAGAGGTGGAAAGACATTTCTATCTGAAAGCCTTGTAAAACCGTGTATAGAACCCTCCTAACACAGTGAGGAAGAAGTGAAAAGAAACCAGAACGGAGAGGCTGGGAATGTCTAACTAGAAGATTGTACCAATTAACACTAAACATGATGGAGGCTGAATGGAAGAAGCCCAAAACAACTGAACTGGATACAGTCAGAGGTGGAAAGACATTTCTATATGAAGCCTTGTACAGCACGAACATAACCCTCTTAACACATTGAGGAAGAAGTGAAAAGAAACTAGGAAGGAGAGGCTAAGAGTATCTAACTAGAAGAAAGTACAAATTAACACTAAACTTGAGGGAGGCTAAATGGAAGATACCAAATGCATGCAGAAATTAAGCTGTAGTAGCACTAATCTACCACTAGTTGTCATGAGCATACCAAGCACATGATGATAAGCAATGAAATAAAAAACAGTGCAATAAAATGCAGTTCTTCGTAGTTCTTACAATGGACTACAGAATGGTTTGCCTTTATGTTGTAAGGTGGCCATACACTTTACAACCCTCGCAAGACTTTTGTCTTGCGAGGGTTGTAAAGTACTTAAAAAAACTTACAATCTGCCCATCTTGGACGGGCACATCGTACATTCCGATGACTGCAATGAGGGGCGGGCTTCTGATGACTGCAAACGGGCAGTGTGCGCGTGCTCACACCGGCCCGTTCGGCGGTTGTCGAACAAGCAGGCCACTAACCCACCGAGAATCGTACGATTCCCGGCGGGTTTTCCAGCCTGCTTGTTCGACAGAAGACGTGCGACCGTACAGTAGAAACGGTCACACGCCTTCCATACACTGCTCGATTATCGAACGATCGCGGGATTTCCCGCGATTCTCGTACGAGAATCGCGCAGTGTATGAGCACCTTTAGAGACCTGAGAGTGGATGAGTAGATTAGCAAAAGGCACTGGGCAGGGCTGACGCCATTCATTCCACAAAAATGCCGTGCGTTGTCAGCCCACAATAGGACTTAGTTGCAGGGTGCATTTTTTGGCCTTGGATTTTTGGATATGCACACTTAGGATTTTGTGGATACAGTTTTCATTGCATATATTTTTGTCTTTTGGTTGAATGCGATGGTCAGCCTGTAACTATGTGTAGCAATACAACAAACCTGAAGCTCCAAATGCCTCAGTGATTTCCTCTTGTCATTCATTTGAAAACTGAACACATACACTAAAGTCCATCTCCACCCATCTCTAGATGTACCCAACTCTACAAAGGAAAATTATTCATGAAAAATTTACTCTAGTTTACCGGATAACCTAAAAACAAGACAGCAGTTGATAGATCAATATTACCAAGAGGCTGTGCGCATTGAAGCCCAAATCCCTAACATCCGGTGCTGACTCGTTCCAGTGTCATTGTACTCATGCTGTCATAACCAAGCTCACCATATCTGACAGGTATTAATCTAAGTGGTGGCTGAGAAAGACTTGTTAGCACTAGGTCTTTACAAGGAGATACGAAGAAGGGGGTTACTCGATCACGGACAGGAATTTGCAAGACAGGTACAGCAATGCCTGGATGAAGAACTGGAGCCCTGAGCAGGAAACCAGGAGCCCCTTCATGGTTCTCCAACACTTACTTCTCTCTGTTTTGGCTGGAGTGCACTTTTAAAAACACTCTAGCTACTTATTAAAGGGAAGAGAAGGAAAAAGCCAACATTTGCTATTCTGAACAGCTGGGTTGGAAACCTGTTTCTTAATTAGCAGCCTCCCTCTGGGGACTTTTATTTGGTAAATTTGCTCATTGGCAAGGCATCTGGTGATATGAAATAACAGATCTCCGGCTTGTTCGGAGCCTTTTTTATTCTGACTCAAGAAAAGTGCGTAAATTGTCACAAAAACAAATTAGTTTTGAGATTGGCGGACGGAATTATGTGGATGTTCTCAGCTTGTCGGTTGATGGGGTAATCAACTTAGCTACTAATGCATTTATCTCGTAAGCCGCAGGCTCCAGAGCCCGACGCTCACTCTGCTATGCCGTTACTTGAAAAATGCCAGCTCGCTGTATGATATCCGCGAAGAACAAGGCGGCAGTTAATGTCTACCTGTCATCCCATCACAATGGAAGCAGACGCTTTGTGTATCATCAATACTAACACCTATTTTTATGGATGCATATGTCTGAAAAAATATATATCTGCACCACATGCATTTGCCTGTATTTTAACTCTTTAAAAATGCTGAAATGCTGCAGGTACACAAACAAATCTGTTGATCTGCAAGAAATCCAGTGAGCTCCTTGCTGTTTGTTCTGACAAAACAGTGTCTGTACTGCAATAGAATCCCAAGCAGCTTTATCAGCCCTGCCTCTATCTGACTCTACTTTACACATGACCTGCCCTTCTTGTCAATGTTAGAGAGCTCAAATGAGAAGGCAATTATTGGGATGGTCGAAGCTGGAGAATGGCTGCCCCAGCAGACAGGTGCTCTTATTAATATTTTTTCCTGGTTGCATGGGTGGAGAAAAAGAGGAAGGGTCAAAAATTAGTTTAGTGGCATGGACATATAGAGTGCTGTTGTATGACTGTGTGGGTACTCCCTCAGATGCTGGATCCAAGGTTGAAGGGTCTAGAGCAGTGGTTCTCAACTTGTATAACCTCAGGACCCACATTTGTCCTTGGTCATTAGGTTGCCACGCAAGTCGCACCACACTGCAATGCATAGCATTGCGGTACCAGGTGTTCCAGTGCGGGCAATCAAACTGTGGGCTGGAGGTGCGTTTGGGGTGCCATTCAAAAGATTGGCAATGCAACGCAGCTCCCGCACTAGAACACGCAGTAGGGACTGTGCGATTAACACACTGTACTAGTGTGAACGGGTTCTCAAATACACTGACAGACACACACAACCACAGACACAATCTCTCACAGACATTCTCACACACACACTCCAAAAACATTTTTAATTTTCTTTTTCTTTAAAGATCCACCCAGTCCCCCCACCTTATGAGAACTGGCTTGGATCCTCAGCCTGGGGTCCAATGTGGGCTGCTGTGTTGTGAAGGAGCTCCATCCATATGTGCATTGCTTCTACAGCTCCCTTGCATGCCCTGAAGAGGTGCCTGGAGCCAGAATGTGACATCACTCCTGTCCAGGAATCTCTACAGGGAATGCAAGGGAGCTGTAAGCAAGGCATGTATGGAGCTCCCTCACGACCATATCCCAAGCCCACCCCACCTCAAGCTGACACTCGGCTTGGTAGGAGTGTTGAGGGCTCATTTCAGACTCATGGCTGCTCAACTCTTGCAGGGACCAGCCTAATGTAGGTCCTTCAGAGATATCACAGTATTTGACTCACAGCCATGGGACATGGGATGAACAGCTGCCAAGCCAGAGAACCTAGTGTGTCAATCTAACCTTATTTAACCATAAGAGCTCTGGAAAAAAGAGATGCTTCAGACCCCCTAAACTGATTGGATATACTTTTACTTTACTACCAAAATCAGTTTGAGTTTAAAGCATTGTGATTCGTTATTTAGGCACTCTTCACCCACCACACCTAAAATTACTTCATGGCTTTTTGTCTGTTCTAACCCACAGTGATTAATGTTACCATGCAAAAACAATGTGACAAAGGCTGGTAATCTTATTTTTGGATTCTCAGAATTGTCATGGAGTTTTAGAGCCAAAACGTTTGTAAAATGTTTGTCACCAATAATGCATGTCGCCAAACCACGATTACATGGCACCAGTCAGATACACAACATGCTTTTGTGACATTAAACACAGTCTCTGTTTACTTAAGAACAGGGAATTGGTCTCTAGATCAAACAGAAAAACAAGCACAAGGAATCCACTTGGCCAGACTGTACCAGCTGGTAGGCAAGGACCCAACACAGAGCACTCACCTCTACAATGGCTAGAAGAGCTCACAGCTGCTCCAGCAGTTAGACAACACACTTTCATCATCTGTATTAAAGCTGCAGTGTTTCTCAGATTCCTTATAACATTGAATGCTACCACCGATCTATAAACTTCATCTTCTGGTCTTTTCCCCAATTCTAAACAACTGTGCCACATTCCAGGCCACAACAGCAACTCCAATACCATTGCCATTTGAGCATAAACTTCTCCAGATGATTGCAACTTTGCCTACAAGACGTTCAATTCATTGTTCTAAAACATTGTGATATGGATGCTTATTTTAAAGAAAAGTGACAGTTACTTTCAGCTGCCTCCAGTGAGAGATGAAAGTTATAAATAGAGATCCATATCCTTGTGCAAAGCTTTGTGAATTGAGCCTAAGGGCTGTCAGGGCCACTTCAGGGACAGGGAAGAACAAGGCAATACTCCAAACTCAATTCATCTACTTATCCATGATCTAATAACAAAGTCTAGCCAAAGATCTTTTGGTTTCTTCATCACAAACATCCACTTCATAATCTTATAAACATCTACAATCCAGTAATCCACAAAGTGCTGTACAGTTCTCCTTAATACACTCACCATTTCTGCAGAGCAGTACGGCCAGGTAGTCCTGGTAGAAGGAGTCAATGTAGAGTAAGAGGCTCGGAGCTTGTGCTGTCATAAAGCTGAAGGCGATATTTTCCCTGGATATCACTGTATCTGCATATATTGACGAGGCTGATGCACTGCTGTTCCTGGACACTGGATAGGGCTCCTGGAAAACATAGGTGACCGAGGTCCCGGCTTCAAACATTGCAGAAACCTCTAGAAAGACAACAGAAATACAAACGGTAATCTTAAAAAAAAATATATATATATATACATATCTTTACACTCTCCTTAAAAAAATGGATTTACAATGAACACTTATTAAATCAACAAATGAACACTTTGTCTACTGTTCATAAGCAACGGTTTAAAACAATTGGAATCTTGGAATCTATATATCTGCCCCCCCCCCTGCACCATAACCTGTTCATTAAGGCCCCATTCACACAAGATGCATTGGTTACAGATTGGCAACTGAAAAAGAATGTGTGTGTGAATAGGAGCAGTTCACACCACTTTGTTGCGTTGATGTCCACTGCCCTGGAGACTAAAAATAAAGAGTGAAACGTGTGCTTAATGCACGTCAACTCAACGGACATCAATGCAAGGCAGAACTAATACCTTATATAGGTTAATGTGAAATTAAAACAAACCCCCCAAAATAAAACAAAAAAAAGGAACTCAACGTAAACCCAATGCAACGCATGGTAACGTAACTCACGTGAACTCACTTGCATTGAGTCACGTCCAACACACACATTTTGGTGCAAACCCTACCCTAAAGTATATCTAAGGCCCAAACTTTTATTTCCCCTAATTTTGGATAGAGTAAGGCCCCTTTCACGGGGGCTGATCATTAGGGGATCCGTCCACGGACGTGACATCCGTGTCCATCCAGTTTTTTCCTCCTTCTTGTGATGAAGGAAAGAACCAACACTGTCGGACCCCACGTCGATCTATGGGGAGTCAGATGTAAACCGACAGTGTCAGTTTATATCAGATTAACTCCCGATCTGTTTGTATGTTTCTTGTTGATCTTAAGTTCTATATTCTATTTATTCTTCGACTGACCAGGTGCAGACACAAGCAGTGGCTCGTCTTCACCCCAAACGGTCAACACATCCAGATAAAACAGCCAACAGCACACTGTAGCGTTCAACACTTGTAAAACTTTATTGTTCCAGGCCAAACTTCAAGGATGTCCCACCTAGGACCTCCTCCAGAGCCTTGGACATTATGGTGTGCTTCCCTCCTTTTGTCTCCAGATGTGTAGACACAACAGGAAGTTCCAAAGTGAGGAAAAACCCTGTTTAATAGTTACGACTGCAACAAGCTTGCCCATTGGAGAATGTGCCCCCTGTTTCTGTTCCAGTGACAACTCAACATTTTTGGATTTTCATTTCAATGAACTGATATAGAGCGTGAATCTCACAGACCTTCCCTCCACTAACACGACCTCCCATGATGATGTCACAACCTTTGAACAGTTCAAGTGAACCTGGCAACAGATGTTTTTTCATAAGTATGCATGTGAAGTAATTGGTAATTGCATTTATTATCTCTCACAGAGATCACAGGACTCTCCATGGCAATGCCTTCATTTGATTTTCTCTCCAGAAGGACAGAGCCATCTGTGTCCAGGCATCATTCAGGGCATCATCCTTGAGCCCACATGCTGTCGGAAACACTGTGTATGTCTATTTGCTTTATTCCACCAATGACAATGCAAACCTCACCTTTCTTGCAGTAGGGTCCCTCAAAGGCGGAGTTTGTGCAGTCACATATGTATCCATTGCGTTTCTCCACACACTTGCCATTGTTGTGACACAAGTTCCCATAACTGCTACAGTGGCCGGAACACCCTGGCCTGATCCCTAAGGTCACTTTGGCCTTTTCCTCCAGATCCAAGGTCTGTCCATTCAGATGGAGGTAGCGGATACACCCAAGGAAACCCTTCTGCTTGGACACCGTCCCTCCTACAGAACAGAATGTCACAGTCAGCCTCTGATAGCAATGCATGCAGAAGATAATGATGGTGGGGAGACATCTGCAAAACAAACTGACAGCTAAGTGGGATGATAAGCGAGTCTAGAACTGAGGTGCCACACTATAATATTCATGTCTGGATGTAAGCTTATTTCAAAGACATATTGTTTAGAAAAGGCAACATGTTTTGGGGAGTTATACTCCAACCTCTGTCACTGTCCTGTCACAACCACTGTCCTTCCTTCTGGAGGGGGGCTACTTTTGTTCCCCATGGTCCCTGTGTGTGTTGTAAAGTAGTCACCGCTCCAAGCCCTCCCCGGGATTGACTCAAATCTCAATACAAATCAGTAGACTAAACATGAGATGGTAGTCCATCCCGGGAGTGAGCTTGGAGCGGTGACTACTTTACAACACACTCAGGGACCATGGGGAAGAAAAGTAGCCCCCCTCCAGAAGGAAGGACAGTGTCAGCACCAATTCAGAGATGATTGGAGGATCTACAGCTGAGTGACACACAAATAAGATACATTGTTATAAATAGTGAAGGTACCCGAATGTATTTTAAAGGTTTAACTCCGGAGTTTAGTGTCACTTTAATGTGTATGGCTAGCATAAGGGAACCGGAAATTTCCCTTGTACGGGTACACTTTAAATTGTAAAGGTGGAGATTTTTTATTAGCCTTACAAAAAAAAACCCATAGTTACACTTGACGATGTTACTTAAAATATGCTCAACTTTCTAATTTTAATATGTGAATGTTTGATATTCAGGCAGAGATATTTATTTCTGTTCCTCAGGCATATGACTCAGCTGTGCTGTGGTCCCCGCATATCAATTGTATTCTGGGAATAGCTGCGTGTCATAACCCACTTGAACAAAAATAACCAACCTGGATGGAAGTTACAAACATGTGGCTGTAAAGTACAGAACGAAGCTAAAACAGAAGGAAGGGAAAGGAGAGAGAGGATAGAAAAGGGCAAAAGAAAATGAATGAAATGGGAAGGGCAAGGAAAGAAAGTAATGAAAATTAAAGGGAAAGGAAAAGTAAAGAGAATGGAATAGGAAAAGGGAAAAAAGGAAAGTAAAGATAAAAGGACAGAAAAGGAAAGAAGGATGGCAGGGAAAGGAAAGGATAGAGAAGGGAGGGAAAGTGAGGTGAAGGGAAAAGAAGTGAATGGAAAGAGAAGGATATGAAAGGGAGGGGAAAGGAAAGGAAAGAGAAAGGAAAAAAGGGAACTATGAAGGAAGGAAAGGGTTACAGGAAGGGAAAGGATAGGAAAGGGAAGGAAAGAAGGGGGGAGGGAGGGAAGGAAGGAGAGGGAGGAAAGGAGAGAGAGAGAGCGAAGGAAGGAAGGAGAGAAGGAAGAAAGGAAGAAAGAAAGGAAGAAAGAAAAAAAGAAAGAAAGGTGAACGGGTGGAAGCAGGGAAGGACAGACAGATGGAGGTAGGAAGAAAGGAGAGGGAGGGAGGGAAAGAACAGGAAAGGAAAAAAAAAGAAGAGAGAAACATTTAGGGAGAAGGCAAGGGAAAGGAAATGCAGGATTAAAAGAAAGAAGAAAGAAAAATGGAAGAAGGGAGGAGAGGGGAAAAAGGTGGGTAAAGGGGAAGTGAAAGAATAGGAAAGTAAAAAAGAAAATCATAGAAGGAAAGGGAAAGGAAATTAAGGATTAAAAGAAAGTAGGAAAAGGGGAAGAGAAAAGGAAAATGAAATGAGAGGAACGGCAAAAGGAATGGAAATAAAAGGAAAAGAAAAAAGAAAGTCAGAGAAAAAGACATCCTTTGGACTGTTGTGGAAATCTGAATTGATGTGAAATGACTGGAACGCAATCCGGACTCACCCACATAGAGCTGAGCATTCAGCAGCGGTCGGGGACGCCCATCAAACAGGGTCTGTACCAGTTTCCTCGGCTGGTTATCCACAACAAGGCTGGATTCCTTAATATTCCTCTCGGCTCTGACGTGATGCCATTGACCATCATTCAAGGCCGTGACGGACTGCATAGAAACCTCCATGGGCCCGTTTCCCGCATCGAATGAAAATGTCACCTGGTAGGGAGCTGTAAAGTACACAAGGCAATCAATACCGCGATCAATAACTATTTTCATTGAATTATGTTTATTTTTTTGTTGAGTGCATGGAACTAATTTTGGCGAGGCCTTGTTTGCTTAAGTAATGTTTTATTTATACCTTGCCGCTCACTCCTTGTGCAATCTAACGAAAAAAATAATAATAGTAACCGGCCCCCAATACATTTTGCCAAAACTCTTGACGAGATGGAAAATTTTGTACTGGTCTTTTGCAGATTTTTTTCTGAGTCACTGACCCATTACAGTAATGTAGATTTCTCACTTGCAGCATGCTTGCTTCAGGTCAGAGGCTCACACAGTTCTGAAGCCGCAGACAGGCAGCAAGCACCCCCCCTCACCCCTCTCATGGTAAGCAGTGGCGTAACAATCACCATAGCGACCCAGGCGGCCGCTATGGGGCCCGGGGGACAGTGGGGCCCGGCCAGATGCTGTGCGGGCCGCCTGGGTCTTTATGGGATCCTCTGCTGGTGGCTTTCACTGGCGGCTGAAGGCGAACACGCCGCTGTTCAGATCACTGACAGTAATCTGTGCAGCAGCGCGTTCCTCTCCACAGAGTCAATGAGTGCCAGCAGCGGCTGGATCCAGCAGTGGAGGAGGAGGCAGGGTCCGTGGCCGGCAGCAGGGGAGGAGGTGGGGCACGGTGACAAAGAAGAAGGCGGGCCCGATAATGAAGAAGGAGGCGGGGCCCATCAGCGACCATGGAGGAAGAGGAGGCGGACAGGTAAGGAGTGCAACCAGCCCACCTGAGGGTGAACTTGGAGAGCCTACCATAGATTCTCGAGTGGGCTCTGCAAGGGGTATAACTAGAAATCATGGGGCCTCATCCAAAATTTTGCTATGGGGCCCTGTGATTTCTAGTTACGCCCCTGATGGTAGGTTTGCCTTAAAAGGAGATGAATTGCCATCTGAAGTCGGCCTTTCCTGGATAACGTCAGAAGATTTTAATATCCTAAAAACGCACAAAACATTTCCAACTTTTAAATGACTTTCCAGAGAGTTCTGCGTCGCCGTCTTCAGTTTTGACACTTCAACATAAAGCATTTGATGAGCAATTTATGAAGGATCAAGCATGAAAAAATTATTAACTCCCAAATGTTCTTTCTTCCTCCCACGCAGAACGAATCACCAGATAAATCCTCTCCGACTTGCCTCCATTTGTTAAATTGTGTTCATTATGTTATTATTGTGCCGTTCTGAAAGGTTATTATTCAGATGCAGCAACATTGTTATTTTTTTTTTTTTGTGTTCTTACGAGTTGCGAGTCTTCGCCGACCGCGCTGATGTCATCTCACCGTACGTGATTTCAGCTTGAAAATGTAGGAACGCGCCAATTAAACATGAACGCATAATAATCGTTAACGTCAAGATTTAGAAAACACGTCCATCAGGCTGCCTGGATTGTTGTTCAGGTTGTATCTCTTCCAACAATGAACTGAAAGGTTAAGACACTTTACTAAATTAATAATAATTTTTTTTTAAATAGCTTGAATGCTGTACGTGGGGTGCGGGGAGCATCTCTCTCACTATGGCATAACAAAAAAAAACTCAAAACATCATTAAAGCATGGTCAAAATGTTTTTTTTGTATGCATGGACTTTTATTTTTTGGTATGCTTAGCAATTTTGTATGCATAGTCACATTTTTTTGTATGCAGGGCCATTTGTTTGTATGCATAGCCAATTTTCTATTTGTATGCATGGGCAAACCTTTTGTTTATACAGTATGCATGACCAATGTTTTTTATTTTTTTGTATGCATGGCCCATTTTTTTTTTTTTGGTATGCATTGACAAATTGTTTTTGGTATGCATAGACAATTTTCTTTTTTTGACAAGGATTATAACCATTGTCAGTATTTATTCACCCTCTGTGTTAAAATGAACAGCACAAAAACCAACCATGGTGTGTGTGTGTTAACGTGTGATGGTGTGAATGAGCCCTAAAAGTTTTTCTTTTTCCATCTTTAGAAAAATTATGTTAGGAAAGATTTTTTTTTGAATGGTACACCAGCGCACTATTGCCGTAGCGGACAGTGCACTTCATGACTCACATGGGGCTCAGCGCACAAAGCTTCAACATGGGCAAAGCTACATTATATATTGATAGTCTCCAGGGATTGATCAGCAGAAAATGGATTAGAAAGCGACACAACGTGTCCATCACACCTCTAATACATGGAATAAAAGGGGAGTTTCAATGTTACATTGTCCATTACGCCAGGTGTTTTCAAAGCTCGGCGCTGCAATGTTAACACCTCATCCATTTCCGAATCTGAATTTCCAAAAGGTGTGAAGATGACAGTCCTGACATTTCCTCACACGCCGGCAGTTTATCTGTGCTCACAGACAGCCAGATAATTAGCTGCTGATAATGTGTATAATTTGGCGGTATTATTGATGAGACGGAAGACTCCCAACTGAGCGCCGTCACATCTTCTCGGCTCTGGTTGAATCTCCGGAACCGATGCTTAGACGCACACGTTAGTCCTTTTGACCCGCAAAATATTCACAATGTGTGCATCCTTTTCCTTAATTTTGTGTAACATTTTACCTTGTTGTGATACTCTGATTTCTCATGTTTTCAGATTTTTATAGGTGCTTGCAAGTTTTTTTTTTTGGGGGGGGGTCGGCTGCAGCAGCTCTTCAAGGTGACCTTTAGAGAAGGGAGGTTCCACCACGGAAAGCATGGGTCCCCCTACATTAGACATGAGCAATTAGTTTCGGAAAGATTCGTTATTCGGAGATTCGGATGTTTCCAAATCTCTGAATGACAGAAATGAGGAATGAAATCGAATCCGGATTTATGAAAATTTCTGACAAAATTCGTCAGCGGTAGTCTGTACAAATTTTCGTTTGTGGACAAATTTTCATTCAAGCAAAGTGACATTAGATTTAAAAAAAAAATGGGAGGCAGCAGGGAGCATGGAACTGGCTTTCAGACTAATCAGGAAGCCTGGAGGCAGGTAATGACTCGTCCCTCTGCTTCCTCATTCAGCAGGAAGCCAGCTCCATGCTCCCTCGTCACCTGGTGACGAGAGAGCATGGGGCTGGCTTTCCGGCCAATCAGGAAGCCAGACAGCGTGTAATGACTTGCCGCCCAGCTTCCTGATTGGTCGGGAAACTGGCCATCCAGGAAGCAAGACGGCAAGTCATTACCCATCCCCCCGGCTTCCTGATTGGCCGGGAAGAAGGCTTTATGCTCCCTCGTCACTTGGTGGCAAATCATTACAGGCTGCCCGGCTTCCTTAATGGGACTTCCGGCATCGGTATTTGGTATCGGCGAGTGCCGCAAAAAAATATCGGTACTCATACTCAATACCGAAAAAACGGTATCGGTGCATCCCTACCAAAGACACTGCTAGGAGCCTCATTAGACAGAGTATTTCATTGCTAGGATGCAGGCAGCCTGGTCTGTGTCCTAGCAACCAATGATGCTGTGCAGGGAGGCCGCCAACATCCTACCAACCGATTCTCGACATGACATTTGTCATATGGCGATGCAGACACACCAAAGAGCATCTGTGCCACTCTTTATGAATTGCAGGGGATGTGTTTTAGGGTCAATTTTTGGCATTTTCACATTTTAATGCTACAAAGACATGGACAAATACATAAAAATTTGCAGCAAAATTTGCTCTAAAAGCAGCGAGGGCTAAAATGCACGCCTACAAAATCTAATTTTAATGCAGAAGCTGTAGTGGCGACCCAACCTGACTCCTGAAACAAGTTTTTATTTTCCAAAATGAGTTTCCAATGTAGACCTAGTTGGCAAAACTTTCCAAAAAAAGAAATGTATAGCTCTAAAGTTGCGTTCAAACATCTCCAGCGTAGGCAGCAATAAAAGGCATCCTGAAGGCCCTTAAACTCATTAAACAGATGATACATTTCAAGGAAGCTAATCGCTCCGTAATGAGGTTTGATATAATGATAATTGCACATCAAAGTCCAATTCAATTGGTTTTTCATTTTTGCGGACATAAAATTTTAAATAAAATAAACAGACATAAATGAGAGTTATAATTGCTGATTGCGGCCGGCGTTAGGAGTTAACTCGGCACAAAGTCAGAGAAGTAACTGCAACTTTTTGCTTGTCATTAGCGAAGTGCTGTTTTATGTAGACGGTGCAGATGGGGTTCTGTAGCCCGGAGGGGCTTTTCTCGTACAATTCTCTAGAGGCGCGCTGTCCAGGAAGAAGACGGGCTTGGAATGGATGTAAGGAGTCAGATGCAATGCGGTCTTAGAGAGAGAGGATTTACTTCATGATTGCAGCAACTTCCCCGCTCTCCTGCCGTATTAGGCTGCGGCTCTTGTTCTATGCTCGCGTTGTATTATGATGTAAAACGAGACAGTCAAAAATAAAATAGCTGTTGGCAATGATGCCCGAGCCGGGGAAGCCTATTGACATTCTGTAACCATTGTGCCGAAAGGATTAGAGAGAAACCTCAGGCTAGGAAATAATGGAAAATTATTGCTGATTGAGTATTATAAGTTAATGCAAGCTGTCCTTATACAGTAGCACTAACATCAGCAGAAGCATAGTACTATGCGCAGTTGTCCAGAGCAGCCAACCAGAATCCACTCTGATGAGGTCACACCAGTATAGGATGGATTCTAATTGGTGGTTTTTGTTACTGGACATTAAACTTAGTGCTTTGGCTCCTTGTGCTATTTACTGATTCAATCTTCCTATATTTGGCACAATGAAATAAACCAATATAAACTAAATCATTGCCTTAAAGGCATAGCGCGATTTTTAGAACGTTTCATGTTACATATTTAGGGTGTAACATGAAGCATGGTTGCCTACAACCATGGATGTACCTAGACGTCTCACTGCCAGAGCCCATTGGGGGAAGGGGTTGGGGTGGTGCTCATGATACATGATCTGGGGTGGGTTTGGGGGTTTGTTAGTACAGAGTGAAGAGTTAGTACATTGGGGGTTTGTTAATACAACCAGGGGCGTCCCTAGACGTCTCACTGCCAGAGTAGTTCCAGGGGATGGGTTCAATGCCACTCGAGGTTGCCAGCCAGCCAGAGTGTCCCACTCCACACCTGGTAACCAGTGACATCAGTGAGCTGGGTGGGATGCCAGAGAAAGCATCACAGTTTGCTAAGAGCTCTTAGCAAGCTGGGATGCTCTGGATGGAAAGGGGGTGACAGGCACGCCTGCTGTCCCACACATGACCTAATGAGATGCCGCCTGAGGCTATCACCTCAGGCCACTGCATTATAGGGATGACCCTGGGTACTGCGCTACCACATATTTATCAGTACCCTAGCTGTCACTTAGGCAGCCGGGGTACACCCCAACACTATTGTCGGAATCCTTTTTCAGCTGTGGCGCAGCTCCGTGCTGTCAGCAGATAGCGGAAAGTAGCTTGGTATATGCTGACTTCGGGTTACAGGAGTGAATGTACTCCTGTGACCCAAAAGGGAAGTAGAGCCCCCCAAAAAAAGGTTTGGCTTTACTTCTGCCTTAAGTCAGGGAGAAATCAGCACTCCTAATTTGCATACTTGTTCCAGTTTAGTGACTTTGAAAATACTGAATCCAATGAATTATTATGAAAGCCAGACAACTAGCATTTTCAAAAGGGAAAGTCAGCAATTGCAGTTTCAATACATTTTCAGTGCAGGTTCCCTTAAAAAAGCAGACTAGCACCCTCTGAGTTTGCCTGATTTATGATAATTGTATTCACTGTTTCCATTTTTTTGTATTAATTTAAATTTCTGCTGTGTTTATTCATGCGTGGTAAATTTGCTTTAATCTGCTCCAACAGGACACGGCAGCGCTTTGCATATCTTTGAATATCTCATATTCTGGATCATCTGACTCTTTAGGGCTTAAAGTCGACCTGAACTCAAAAAGTGGAGCTTTGCTATCTTAAAGGGAACATGCAAACATTGTAATTGTGCCTAAGCACTACCCTGGACAAAAAATACCATGCATACTTTACTCTGTGCCTTGTGCCTCATAATTGTATCACTGCACTATGAGATCATATAAGGTACTGCTGCCTCTGACTTCTGGGGGTTGATTTACTAACCTTATAAACACGCCACGAACAAGTATACACCTCTGTAGTGTGTTCCCTCCCAGCATGATCTATTGGTGGAATCTAGACCCCTTTGTAGTGTGTACACACCCAGCAGGTGTGTTGTGCAAAGCCAAGCGTGAATTGCAAGGTGATGTTGTGTAAATTAGCTCCACGTTGTGTTGCTTGCGTTGATGAATGCAGGAATGTAAATGCATGAGCTAACCATTTTTGTCTAAACTGTGAAGCAGCATTATATATGCATCATGTGCATGATTTTTCCATATATGGCATTAGTGGAAATATGCTTTTAGAGACTTGCATTCCGCTATTAGAGCGGCGTGTAGCCTATGGCGCATGCTACATGACGCGCACGTACGTTAATACATAAAAACGCGCCATAACGGCGTGAAAATGTGACACGTTGCTCGTGTTTGGTTGATAAATATGTTTTGCTGTGTAAAAATGCACACACACCTGGTCTCACCAGATCTGGAGTGAGATTCGGTGACATCACTATTGTGCTGCTTACTGTTCTTCGTGCTGGAGAGGAAGCTGTATCTAAGGACTTACAGTGCAAGGATCTCCCTGCTTTTGCTTCAATCATTGTGTGGATGTGTGCTTCCTCCACTTCACCTTCCTGCTCTTTGAATATCTCCCACACAAGTCACCACATCTCCTGTCATCAACTCTGAAACGAGACAACTCCTCCTACTCCTATCTATCAGCTAGCAGCATGTCCCTCGTTTAGCAAATTGGCACTGCAGCACAGCTGACTGGCTCCTTGGTCTGACTCTCCCTCTTCCAGTCTGGGCTTTCCTATACAGGAACTGCAAGAGGCTTATGCCAAGCCAAACTCACATATTTACACTGCTTGCATTTGAAACAACAATTTAATGGTGCATACAAAATAATTACATTCTAATTATATATATATTGTGGGGAACCCCAGGGGTACACATGCTTCTGCAACACAGTCCGATATAAATAAGAGGCTTTTATTTTACCCAACGGTAACAGAACAAACAGCTTTCTTCAGCAAAACGGCAAAATAAAAGGCTTTCCTCAGCAAACATAAAGCAAAAGTCTTTCAATAATCCTGCACTGCGTAGTGCGTTTTGGTGGTCTCACCTAGATCAACTCCACAGACGTCTGAGCAGCCACACACACAGACCTTTCTGTGTGTCTCTCAGCTCCCCTCTCCTCTCTCACCTGTGTTCCCTTTTTAACAGGAAGGGCTGTAGGGGAAGTATCTGCCCTCCCAAATTAACCCCCTTTTTAGCCCTCAGCAAGGTAGACTCTCCACAATAAATATACACACCATTTTCCTGTGTTATACTCACAGAATAACTCGACTCTTATAAAGTCTTTCACACCAATAATTTCCAGAAAGACCCCGGAGGAGCTGGTAGTTTTGAAGAAGAACACAATGTCAGTGCTGAAATCCACATGTGATGTTGGAAAGTAGAGGTAGGATGCCAGAGTGGTGAATGATGCGGAATTCCAAAAATTTCCTGAAATGAAGGAAAACCAAACTCAACAGACCAAGAAAATGCAAACATTTCGGATTTCCCATCACTTTCTATCTCATTGAATACTGGTACCATGACAATTGAAGAGGGTGAATCTCCCCAATGACACCGATAGTAATACAAATATTTGCATGCATGCTTCTCCTCCACTACTCCTCCACTACTCTATTAAAAAAAAAAAAAAAAAAAAA